ACGTTGCTAGGATACAGCTATTAGTATTTTCAGTGGCTGGGGTATTTTTTGGTGTGGTTTTTTTCATAGGCTGGGTCTCACCTCTCTTACAAACAGTAGGATATGTGACTGCCTGATCCCATTTACACAACGCTCTCCCACCTTACAGTAATAAGGCAGACTTGAACTATTCGTTTCATCCACTTTTAGTTGAGAAGAAGCCGCACACGAGTAGTTTTGACTTGAGCTATTTGGAGCGCATTTGATCTGAATCTGGCGTTGGAGGTGCGGGATCGATGTCACAGTATGAAGTCAGTCTCCCTCTAGTGGTTCGCCTCCGGAGGGGCCTTTGGTTTCACTGCCTTCAATGGGTACAATTTGCCGGAGTGCGATGCAAAGTTCAGCGACCCTCTGAGAGTGGTATTGAACTCCTAATGTGCATGCGATGAGCATCAAGTCAGCACAGATGAGTTTCTGTGTTCTTTTTTTCTGTTTTGTAATTCTTACATTTCTTGCAGTATCAATACAAGATGAAGCTTCCACCCGTGGCTCACTCTGCAGTACAGCCCAATGTGTTCTGCTCAGCGTGTAGGATGTGACTCTTCCATATTATTTCCCTCAGCTGTACACTGGGCTGCCTGTCAAAAAAAGATCAGTATTTAAGCTCATGTTCCACATCAAAGCAATTGCCAGATGTGGTGCCAATAATATTCCTTTGAATTTAATGTAACACATTGAATAGCATGGTGGATGATGCTATTTTGAGATCCCTGTGTTTGGGAAGCAATATCTAAGTGAAACACTATGCAGATATTTTGCTAGGAAATAAGCAAAGGAAAGCTGTTTGGAAGTTGTGCCCACTGTATAATTCAGCTCAGATTTGAGGTCCACAGGTTTCTTGCATTTCTGCCTATGATCTCATTTTCACTAGGCATTGTTTCTTTAGGTCCTAGGATAAGTGTAATACCTCCCATGCATGGGGAGCAGGAAGGGATGAAATCAGAAGCCTGTTATCCAAAGCTGTGTCAGAAATTCAGGTCTCCCAAAGCCTGCTGCAGGGGTTGGATATTATGCCAGTTCAACTCCCCAAAAGCAGCTGGGTCAAAAAATAAAGATAAGGGCTTTGGGTCCGGCTGAAACTTCATGAGCAGCTGTGACCAAACAGCAGTGATTCTGCAATGCAAAGCACTTGGAAGGGCTGATGTTCTTCAGATTGGTGCACTGAGCAAAGGTGAGCAGGGACTTTATACTGTTGTCTTCATGAGCATGTTCGCTTATGGAAAAAAAATATCTGGGTTTTACTTGCTTTGTTATAAACCTGAGTTGCTATTTAGTGTTGGTTTTGCTTTATAAACAGTAAGGAAGAGAAAGCTGAGAAAAGTTTAGTACCATCTGCCCTGGAGTGAGCAAACCCCCATAGGATTTCACAGGACCCTGGAACCAGAAGCTGTGATGTGTTGTCGCCTCTCAGTGCAGTTCTGCAGTTCTGCAAGGACTTTAAGCATAAAGCCTTATTTCTCTTTAACTTCTTCCTGACGGTCAGCTTCTTGAGCAATCAGGGCTTCTCCACCTCTCAGGAGATCACCCCAAGTACTTTCCTTTGCACACTGCTGTGTAAAAGTTGCACTTCTTTTGTACTTCTTAATAGTGGAAAAAAAAGTGGATGTAGGAACTCAGTATCAGAGTCCTGTCTGAGATTTGCTCGTCATTCACAGACAGAAAGTAAATAGTAGGCTGTGTTTGCAAGGAGGTGATGGACACCTGTGGGATGTCCACACAGGCATGTGTTTGGTAGGTCTGTGCCCCCTGCCTCTGTGGAAGGCAGTTTCCAGGAGGCAGAGGGGAAAAGCCTGTCCTGCAGAGCACTGCTCAGTGCTGCTCGCTGTCCCAGGCACTGGCTCATGCCTGCCAGAAAAACAGGGGGTGCGAGCCAGTTAGTTTTGAACAAAACAAAGTTATGCAATATCATTTAGTTCTGACATGTTCCCAACATGCAGCAAATGAAGAACTCCCTAAATGCAGTATATCTCTGGCCATATCATTTGAATATAACTTGTTTCCATGACAACCTCTGCTTAACAGCTTGGCTGATATGAAATCATTCCTAGATGGGGGAGCTTTTGCCAAAAGCATTTGGATTCAATTCTTTAACATCATGCTTTAGGTTTTAAAAAATGTTTGTTTAAGTCTTTGGAAGCAAATATCAAATCAAATCCCTTCATCCTCACCTCTGCTTTGGCTTTCACTTGATCAGTTTATCTTCCTGAGAAGCGATCAGAAGCAGCTCCTGCATTACTTAATATGCTTCTGAAGGCACAGGCAGTGTTTCAAGAGCCAGTGATCATGACAGCAGCCTTTGGTACAGGAATCACATTTCATGGCTGTTGGCTCTGTATGCCAGCAGGGCACCAGCAGCAGCTGGGCACAGCAGAGAGGACTTGTGCTCCAGCCAGCAATCAAGGCCAGGGAGGTTTATGCTGCAGCAAGCTCTGGCTCCAAGTGAAAAAGAGGAGCAGCAGCTAGACAGAGGTCTTTCTCAACATCTCACAAAGTTCCTTTTTTATCAGGAGAACCAAATAAGCAAAAGCTGGTTATCAGCTTGATGTTCTCCAAGGTGTCATACCTACTGCCTCGGAAATAGCTGTGGAAGGCTTCCAGTGTGGCAGTACAACATGACTGCTCAGATGGTGCTTGTTCTCTTCCTCGCTTGCAGGTGCTAAACAGTGTTAAAACATAGCTAAAATAAGCCTAATGCTTTCCTAATATTTCTCATGTGTGCAAGCACTGTAGTTGCCACAGTGATGTTATACAACTGCCAGCAAGGGGAAGGATGGTCCTAAATGCTTTAAGAGGCTGTCTGCCCCTTCCAGCCTCTGCTGCTTGTATTGCAGGAGTCTTCTGCTCTAGCTGGGAGCAGGAGCTGTGAGAAAACCCACCCAAGCAGGCAGATAATGCCTCGAGCATGTGTTGCTGCCAGGCTTGGAGATAATAAGGGCAAGGCTTTAAATGTCAAGACCATGGAAGGAGTTACAGTGTTTTTTTCCAGCTGCAGTGTGCCTGCTTCAGTGCTAGTCAGCTCCATGCCAAAGTGCTGGGCCCTTATAGCAAACAGGTGCTTAAACTAGGTGCAGGAAAGCAGTGCTAGGAGCATGCAGAGCAGGCCTGAACTGCTTTTCCCACTCTACCTCACTTGTTTGTTTTCTTTCTTCCCAATCCACCTTGCCAGTGCATGGCTGGAAAAATTCAGCTGTTACCAGTCTGCAATCAGCTGAGCTGACCTACCTGCTGACACCTCCTCTTAGCCACCCAGTTCTGCTGTATAAGAACTTTTCACGGCAGAAAATCATTGTGGTTTTGTTTGTTTGTTTGTTTGTTTTTGTTTTTTGTTTTCACCTGCAGTGGTGAGCTGTGGTCGCCTCATCTTTGCACAGCCTTGGAGCACGGAGTTGCACACTAACAGTTTGTGTGTTGCAAATCTGCTGGGGAAGGTACGGAGGCACAGGAGATGGCATCAGCAGGATTTCTTTACAAGTGAACATTCTGGGTATGTGGCAAATATCAATGAAACACATTGTTAATTAAAGCCTATACATCTCTCTCTCAAAGTTCTAGCAATTTCCTGGGACTCCTAATCTCTGAATTGGTTTTGTTCAGTGCAAGGAGGCTGAGCAGGATCAGGACGCTCTCTCACCTTCGTTTCTCCTTGTGAGATCCCCCTCAGGAGATGTGTTCTTGCTTCTGTGTCACGACTTCTTGGAAATCTCTGTAGGTGTAGGATGTACGTGCTAATTCAATGCATCCTGTGATTGCCCTTCCTCCCAAACCAGATTAATTTACTGTTATCTGAGATTTCCATGACAAACCTCGTGCCCCTGCAAAGCCTGCTATTTACTGCTGTAAACAAGAAATAAATGGAGGTTTACATGTCTCATTTGGCATAATGACACAGGATGTGCTGCCTGCTATTTGCTGTGTTGGAAGTGTGGGGGTTGTGCTTTGATATTGTTCCTTACAGCTCAGGTTGTTTGCAACAAAATCATTTGTTTTCAGCCTCAGCTGTAATGTTCTGGAGGATGAGCGGCTCTCTGGTGATGGGATCTGAAGGCTTTCACTGAAGTGTGTTTGTCCCATCAGAGGTGGCCTCAAAGAGATTTAGTGCTTGTAATGTGTGCTGCTGGCTCTGGCCTTAGTTCCAGAGGGACTGTGCAGCATAGTAGAAAATTAACACTTCATTGGCAGCTTCAGCAGAGGGACAATAAAAACATCACGTGAGGGCTGTTGGTGGCCCAGAGGAGAGTGGTGCCCCTTTAGGTCACAGCAAATCGGTGCTCTCCTACTTTCTTCTCTCCTGATCAAACCCAGGCTGCTGTGCCCAGGTACGGCCATCTATTGCAGCACTTTGCTCAGGATTAACATCTTGGATGGCTCACCATTGAAACAGAGAGCTTGCTCAGGGTGGGCACACCAATGAATTTCAGACTTCGAGCTCTCCCAGTCATTATCTTGCCTTCTATTTAAAGAGCAGTAAATTAAATTGCAGGAGATGGTGCAACTGGTTTTCCAGACCTTATTTAATTTGGCTGAGCAGTTAGCATTTTCCATCTGCACAACATAATCATTAACTTTTTTTGTTTCTTCACTGTCACTGTGCAGATTGCTTTTCACGGGCGATCTCTGTCCTTACTTACTGCCACATTTCATTTCTTTGCAGGAGTGCAGCTCCATTGATTCTTCTTTTAGGAAGGAGCACGTATAAAATTATTCATCCTACTAACGGTGCTTGCAAAGAATCCTATGTGATTCACGGTCTTTGATCCTGCTATCGCTTATGTGGGTGTTTAACTTTACTACAGCCCCACTGGGGAGAATCTTAATTTAAGAAAACACTATTATAAAAATAACGTGAGTCTTTTAAGCACACGCCCATGCTGGATGATGAGAAACACCTCCCTTTAAACAAGCATGCAAATTAAACAGGTGGTAGAGAAGATGAGAAGAAATTAAAGAATTAACTTCTTCAAGTCTGGAAAGCTGTGCCAGGGGAGGGCGGGCGCCGTGGGCTCACGGAGCGTCCCGACAGCGATAGGATTGGGTTCGTGCGATGCCGTGCGGAGCAGCCGGGGGTTGGACTCGGCCATCGCGGTCCCCACCCCGCGCCTCCCCCGTCCCGCCCCATCCCCCGGGGGCGGTGCTGCGGGCCGGCCGGGCAGGACATGGAGCTGAGCGCCCCGGGACCGGAGCCGCTGCGATCACCGGGAGGTGATGAGGACGGGGCCGAAGCTCCGGGGCTGCCGCTGCACTCGGCGTGGACCTTCTGGCTCGACAAGTGAGCGGGGCGGGGCGGCTGGGGGTAAATCGCTGCTCCCTGTGGCTTGGTGGTGGGACAGCGGGACTCGGTCGCGTGCTGCGTATAGGAAAACTTTTGGTGTAACGCGTCGGTAGCGGGGCTGTATTTCACGCAGCCGCTCGACGAGCCGCTTCTGTTGTCGTTCGACAACCGCACGTCGGTGCGGGCGATCTCCGCGCCCCAATTTTAGCCGTGACGCTGCTGGGGGCAGCGGCCGTAGGGCCGTAACCCTTCGTACTCGGGCCGGGGCTCCTGCGGGTGGGAAGAGAACAGTTATGAGGGTGAGCAAAACTGCGTTATTGCAGCGCTGTGCCTCCGTGCGTACTGCAGATCTGTGCCTGAACTTTTATCTCCCATCTCCAGCGGTCACAGGGAGCTCCCCCGTGCTGCACATAAGCACTAGAAACCGAAACAGAAAGCTTGGATCCTTCCCTATTTATTTGCTTTGCTGTGCATTTGTTGTCTCGTTATTAATCTTCTGTATTCCCCTGTTTTCTGTTTCTGGTGTTTCTTCTCTCCCCTTGCTCAAGAGCACTCCTCTGCTCTGAAGGCCTTTCCTCACTCTGCGAAGCTCTGCTCCTTCAGGTTGTATCTTTCAAACACGGTGACAGAGAAATGGAGCAGGTTCCTTGCAGGGCAGTTGGACTGGATGACCTTTCAAGGTTCCTTTCAACTCAGACGTCTCTGTGGATGCTGTGGAACCAGTGGAAGCATGCAGGTGATCTCAGGTCCTGCAAGTCGAGTCTTACAAGTAACGCCAGCAGTTATTTCTGAGCTCCTGATTTGGTTGCAGATAGGGTCAGGGTCTGAGCTGTGCTTTTGGTTTGGTTACTGTGCTTTTGGTTTGGTTACTCTTAAACACTGCTGTGTGCTGCTGAAGCTGCTGTGCAGGTGTGCTGTGTCCACAAGCCAGGTAGGGAGGAGCAGCCTGGCTGTACAACCGCTGCTGGAAGTTAAAGGCCACTTCAAGTTATTGAAGTGTATCATGATTTATTTTTTTTTTCCTTGTGTCTTGATTCTGCTATATTTTAGAGTCTTAGAATTCATGATCTTATTTTATCTGTCATTCTGATCCCTTCTAGGTACATTTAATTAGGTAGTGTTGTTCTTCCTTATCTTAAAAAACCATATAATATATTAAAAAAGTGGCACTAGGGGTCTGCCCACAACACTGAGTTGTGTTTACCACCAACAGTAATGGAATGATGGCAGAGAACAGGGATAAAAACAAAACAGAAGAGGTGTTCCATGCATTAAAATAAATACCTAAGGCATTTAAAAGCACACAGGAGATATGTTTTATTGCATGGCCAAGAACTGCAGTGTGAGGAGGTTGCTGTGTCAGTACAGGGTCTGTAATGTTATTGGTGCACCTGTGTAGACTTGCTGATGAGGTATTGCTTGGGCTCATATGTGATGAACACACCACAGAGTACAGCTGGGTGCTGTTACTGAACCTCAGTAACGCCTGGTATGGAGCAGTGCTGGTAGCTATGAGATGGTATTGATTTTGACTGCAGCTGTGTGTTACCTGGTATTTGGGCTGATGTGCAGAAGGAGGTGACACTGTAGGGTAAATACAAGTTGGAAGGGGTATGTAGAGATGTGTATTGTTCTGTTATACTCTAGTGAGAGATCCATGGCATATGTTTTAACACCACCACCATGTGTCTTTTTATTTAGTCGCACTTAAGATATATACCCAAAAAGCAGCACTTCTGTAGCAGCTAGTGATGTGAGTGATTCACCTGGGCTCAGCCGCCTCAATTTTATCATAGCTTCCCTGGCTTTTTTTCCTTCTGTGGAAAGAAATGAGATTTCCTTCTTCAATTGTTAAAGTGCTTCAAGGTCAAGATCTGCAGGTTCCCAGGCTCATACTGGCATGACGTCTCTGTAGTGCTTTGCATGCAGTGCCCTGGTGACGTTGGAGGCCTGGGCAGTGTCAGCAGGGTTTGCAGATGCCTTTGGTGTCACACTAGGAAGCAGATTCCTGCTGGTGGCTGGTCACACGCCTGCTTGTCACAGCGAGGGATTGGTGTGGGGTTCTGCCTTTTAAAGGAAAGGTTGTTTTTCTGATTTTTGCAATACTGTGGGTTGATATATATATATATATATATATATCAATATATACATTTAACACTGTGATTATGCCTCACAAAATGTAATGATGTAAAAGTAAAGATTAGAAATCTGGTCACTATGCTCATATTGAACAGTGTATTCGATGTGAAGATTGCACAAGTGGGAATTGAAGTGAAATGGCAAAAGGCTCGGATGTCGTGGATAACAGGACAGGCTGGCAACTTGAAACCATCCCTTAATGGGAGCTGGGGTTGTACATCTGTGTAAATATATAGATGGTGAAACTGATTTTGTTTTTTTGATGTGTATGTATGGGTGTGATCCAAACTGTCTGCTTGGTTCAGTGTGCCCTTAAATGTTTACAGCTATGCTAGGTAAGTCCTTCCCTGCTGAAATAAGAAGGTACCAGAGCTGCTCCCTGCGTGCTCTTTCCCCAGGGGAAGCTGCAGGTTTTGGCAGCAGCAGCTCTTGGTCCACAACGTGTGTGTGCTCAGAGGGATGGAGATGATGCGCATCCTTGCAAAAAGGCATCTTTGGAAGATCAGAGTGCATCTGAGCTGCCAGCTTTGCTGGCATGCCACTTCCAGCCAACAGCAGAATACCAGCAGCCTTCTTTACAAATCAGTGCTACCAGAAATTGAACAAAGCTCACTGCAGAAGCCTCAATTCTAGATAAACTCTGTCAAAGATGCGTTCCTGCCAGTGGCTGTGTGTGTGTGCACAGTGATGCAGGTTGCACTGCAGGGCTCTGACCCAACTGCTTTCCTTCTCGCTTTGCTCCTGCAATGCTTTTTGGGTCATTTCCTTTCTGTTGTAACTTTCGTGTAACTTTCAGGGGAAAAATATGCTAATAAGTGTTGTCAAATGTAAAGTAATGTTTATAGACAACTGGAGGAAAGAGTAAACATTTTCAGGTAAATGTATCCTTATATACTGCTTTTTCTCTCCTCAGGTTATATTGATGAGATCCATATAAATGTCATTTAGTAGATAAATTCTGATAACCGAGTCGTTTCCATAATAATTGGGAATTGTTATAACTGAGCACATCAAATATTTGAAACTAAGCTTAATAATTTCCCTTTTTCCCTATAGCAAAATCCTATTTATCTAGAATCATCTATTTCATCTATTAAAGCTCATGAGTAGGTGGCTTACAATGAAAAATGATGGTTAATATTATAAAAACGTTCAACCCAGTAAATGCATTTTGACAGGCTTTGATGGCTTGAAATCAGTCTTTGTCTGCGTTCAGAATGGATTGCCGGATTTATTTAGTTGCCACAGCATGTTTTTGAGCTTATGCTTTGTAAGTAAATATTTTGCTTATTTGTAGCAAAGCCATTGGGGCTGAATACTGACAGTGGTGTCTCCAGAAGTGCTCAGTGGCTTTTAAGGCTCTGGCTAGAGGCAGGGATTGATTCCCACTGGGAAACAAAGGGCAGTGTGAGCACGTCTGAAAACAACTCCTATCCTTGGTTCTGTGCAGGGAAACAGAAGAGCCACAGTTCAGCAGTAAGCATTAACATCAGCACAACCACCTGGAGGTTTATTCATGGGTAAAACAATGGAATTTATCTTTGTATGTTTTGTTCTTTATTCTTGAAGCTGGCAGCAGGGCTCAGTTTGGGTGGTTATTCCTGTTTCCATGCTTTGCTTTGACCGAACAGCCCTATGAGATGTGGGATGGTGGGTCTGATCTGCTTGGGCAACCCTGAAGTAGCTTTGAAATGTCACCTGAAAATATTCAGAAGGTGCAGGAAAGTGGCTCTCCGTGGGGAATCCAGATGGGCAACTCCAGTGGGCCACCAACCCATTAATGCCCATCTTCAGCGGAGCTCTCTGTGTCCAGCAGCTGCTCCTGGTACGGCTGGCTGGGCCATTCCCTCCTGCTCATGGCTATTTGCAGTGCTTGTTGAGTTAATTCAACACAGTGACAGTAATTGGAAGTTCAGTATGGATGTATCAGCTGAATTCTGTTGTTGACAGCAGTAAAATTATCCGAAGTGGAAAAACTCCATAATAACCTGCAAGTACTGACCCTTAAACGAAGCTTCCTACCTTGTGTATGGAGCCTTTCAGCAAGGTGCACAACTGCCTGACTATTCCTAGCTTAGGAATAGGAATAAATGAACAGTCCATCACCTTAACTTCCAAAACCAATAATTTGATGGTCAGGTGGGGTTTTCTTTTCAGCTGATGGTTCTTCAACATTAAAATGAACCACCTGGCCTGGGAGTGGAATATTCTGTCTCTCATTTTTTAGCTGATCTTGAAAGTGGCATTAAATAGCTACATGACTACTGCAATTACACAGATAACCTTTGAAAGCTGTTGTTACAGAGCACATAATCTGTTTTTAAGAGAGCAGCCCTTACCACAGCAGCATCAGTGTGATGGAGGGAAGATGCTGCAGAATGGTTGGGTTGGAAGGGGCCTTAAAGATCATCCAGTTCCAACTCTTTGCCCATATCCCATCCATTGTGGCCTTGGACATCTGTGTGGGACACAGAGCATCGCCGGGCCGTTGTACTGCACAGCTGCCCCCAGGCAGTGGAGGCTCAGAGATTTGCAGGCTGGTAGCGAGACGTGGCTCATTTCTTGCTCAGTGGTGTGAGACATAAAGGAGCAAAGTTAGCTTGGATTTTGCCCACTTATGGACAATCATATGTGCTTTTGTAGTTCTTGAGCCACACAGATTTCTCTCTCTCTTTTCCCTCTCCTCTCTTCCCTTTCTCTTCCCTCTCTCTCTTTCCTTTTCCCCCTTTTTTTCTTTTTTTCCCTCCCCCTTTTCCCCCTTTTTTTCTTTTTTTCCCTCCCCTTTTTCCCCCTTTTTCCCCCTTTTCTCCCTCCCCTTTTTCCCCCTTTTTTCCCCTTTTTTCCTTCCCCCTTTTCCCCCTTTTTTCCCCTTTTTTCCTTCCCCCTTTTCCCCCTTTTTTCCCCTTTTTTCCTTCCCCCTTTTCCCCCTTTTTTTCCCCTTTTTTCCTTCCCCCTTTTCCCCCTTTTTTTCTTTTTTCCTTCCCCCTTTTTTTCTTTTTTCCTTCCCCCTTTTCCCCCTTTTTTTCTTTTTTCCTTCCCCCTTTTCCCCCTTTTTTTCTTTTTTCCTTCCCCCTTTTCCCCCTTTTTCTCTTTTTCCCTTCCCCCTTTCCCCCCTTTTTTCCATTTAAGCTCACAGCAGAATTTCAGAACGTGAGGCTGTTTTTGCTACGCCCGTCACTCAGCCTCGCACCCGGCGGTTCTCAGCGCGCTGCCCCGTGCGGGACGTGTCGCTCTGGTTCTTTCCCGCGCCCCGTGCCGTCCCCTCAGCCGGGACACGCTGCCACACACTGCCACCTGGCGGCGGGACGGGGCAGCGCAGCGAACGCGGCGGTGCTGCCTGAGGTTCAGAGCGGGGAGAACAGCCGGGCGCGTGGGGGGCGGGTCGGGTTTGCACTAATTGCAGTTACTCAGAAGTTTGCTGGGAGACGCGATGCTCGAATTGGACAGCTTTGTTTTTCTTTCTTTCTTTCTTTCTTTCTTTCTTCCCGCAAGGTCCCTTCCTGGTACCACAGCAGCTGAATGTGCCTCAAACCTGAAGAAGATTTACAGAGTACAAACAGTGCAGGTGAGGTACTGGAATTGCATGCTGGAAACACGAAACGTAAGGTGTGAAGTTACCTGAACGCCCATCTGGGTGAGACACGCTTGGCTTTGCTTCCCCACGGTGGGAGATGTGCCTCGTGCTGTGTGCGGGGTCCCTCAGTCGCTGTTTGAATTGCCCTTGGCTTTGCCAACCAGGAAGGGGATGGAGGGTCCTGGTGTGAGCAGACGTGCCTCTTCCAGTTCCCACTGGTGCCTGTGCTGCACTGTTATGCTTGATGATTTCCAGCGTGTTTTCTTCTTTTCTCAAAGTTTGAATGCAGCAAATCATTACGCAGAGGCAGAGTATTACAGCCCGTGCTCATTTTTCTCTCTGCCCTTGAGCAGAAATTTTTCTGATACTTCCATCAAGCTGTCTTGCATTAAAGTGCTCTTACATCACAGAGTGCTCACAGCAATGAGGAATTCTGCATGTCTGTGTCATCTGTTGGTGCCAATCAGTGGGCATCTCTTGCAAGTAAATCAGGTTTCTCTTTTAATACCAGAGTTAGTGTGAAATTCAGAGGATTACTCTTTGTCTTACTGTGGTGCTCAGTTCATGAAGCCTCAGTAATGCAATGAAGTAGGGATGGTTTCCACTGGGCTTCCTCATCGATGACTGTCAGCCCTGCGCTGTGTGTGATGCTGTTTCCAGCAGCAGCCCTGGGAGACAGCCTGCATGTAGGAGGTGCTGGACGAGGCTGTTACAGCTGGCACAGGGCATGGAGGCTGTTTGCAGGCCCTGGGTTTGGGACCAGGAGTGCAGGGAGGCAGCAGGGGAGTGTGAGAGAGAAACTGGAGTGACTTTTCCTTCTCTGCTAGTGAAGGTAATGGCTTTTAGAGAGAAGAGCCAAGGGCTGTGGAGTTTTACCATATAGCATTGCAATCTTTGTTTCTAAAGTTGTGCTAATGATTAAATATTAGATGAACTAACACTTAATTAGTTGTACTAATGTCAGCGTTACATCTCTGCATGTCGGTGCAACACAAGTCTCTAAAGGTCTTTCTTCATCCCAACTGCTGGATGAAGAAGAAAGGGAATTAGGATCTCTTTACTCTTCCCTCCCTGTTGCTCATTGCTGCTGTTAGTGTGCTTTTATCCACCCAAATGCATCACAGCTTCTGCTTTTTTTCAGCAGAAAAGTTAGAAAGTGAGCTGATGGATCCTGGGTCCTTTCATTCTCCCCCATTCCTGCACTAATGCATGCGTCTCAGCTTCATGGTCTCATGAAACTTTTTATTGTGAATCTAGGCAGAGGATTTGGATTATAGTTAGGCACTTGGCTCAGCAGAATTATTGCTTGGTTTTGTTTATTTGTTGTAGTTCAGGCTGGTGCCAGTGAAGTTTTAGATGAGTCCAAATTGATGTAAAGTGGAGAGTTTTTACATAAAATACATTTAAGTGTGTACTTTTAGTATGTTTAAAAAGTTTCCTGTACTGGCTTGTTCTGACACACCTCAGCGTAATTCTGATTTTGATATTTTTTCTCTCTATTCCTACAGACTTTGGCTCTAAAGCATGTGGAAAGCAAATTAAATAACTACAACATATATTTGCCACGCACTGGGGCACAGCGTTCAGAGTTACTGATAGATGCTTGGTAGATTTTAGGTCGTTGGTATCCTTCTTTCTACCTCCACCTTAAGCAGGATTGGATCTTCCCCACCCTCCCCTGTGAAGTTGCAATCAATTGACTTTGGAGCTTTTTCTTGTAGTATAGAAGGCGATGGCTCTCTGGCAGTAAGGTGCACAATAGTTGTAGATAAAATGGCCACAGAAGTAAATTTGCACGGAATCCATTCTCTTAATGCAATTAGTATTTCTGTGTGTTTGCTCGATGAAGGATTTCTGGAGCGTCTACAACAACATCCCTCCTGTGACGAGTTTGCCCCTGCGCTGCAGTTACCACCTGATGCGTGGAGAAAGACGGCCCCTGTGGTGAGTGCTGCCATGTGGTGCTTCTGGGGATGGGCAGGGACAAACCGTGCGTGGAGAGAGGTGGTGGGCATGGGCAGGAGGAGGGCTGTGTTTCTGCTGCCAGCCAGTGCCAGAACGTGAGAGCTACGAGGAGTGTTCTGGGGTCGTGGCGAGCTAAAAGAGAAGCTTCCTTAAAAATGCAGGCTGGAATTCAATTGTCCACTTAGGAGCGTAAAGGTCAGAAAGAAATTAAATTGTGAATTAACAGTTAAGAAATGTGGCTTTGAAATCCAGTTTGGGAATACACAGAACGTTACTTGTATCTGAAATACTCTATTGCTTTTTTCTCTTTGCACTGATGCTGGTTTAATCGTGATGCAAATGACTGCATCCTTAACTGTTCTTCACCTGTACAAAAGCAGAATGCATGCATAAAGATGTGAATACAAGCTTAGGTTAAAAATAATTTAAGGCATCATGAAGTGATGCATTGCAGCAAATTCCCACTTGATTGTGGGACAGTAATGAAGTAATGTATGAATCACTGATGTTTTCCTTTCGGAAATTGAGTTTAGCATGCCTTCTTCCTGATCCAGTTCCTTCACATCTTAATTAGCTGAGCCATTTACCGAAGAGACTTGATCTCTTGGACATCATTTGCACCAGATTGTGATTGGATTAAGGTTTCCTAACCGGATCATATCTCAATAACTGGATGTTGAGTTACTCTGGGAGGATTCTGGCCTACCCTGTGTTAAAAGTAAATGCTTTTCTAAAGGGAAATGCATGTGAAGATCAGTGTTGCTTTTCAAGCAGTGTTGTGACTGATCAGAATAGCTAAGTTGATTTAGAGAGAGATGTTGGTGTCTGTATAAGCCTTTGTGTGCAATAGTTGGGAACTTTGGAAGGGTGAGTGAGAACACTTCTGGTTTTCCTCTAGTTTTAGTTTTGGTTTGGTAAGTCCCTATTAGACAAGTAAAACGCAGAATCCTTTCTTGATGGTGCTGCATCTGTGTTAAGGCTATCAAAGGAAAGGTGCTGCAGTTTGGAAAAGGATTGCAGGAGGTCAGTGCCATCAGTAGCCCAGACAAGCTTTCAGGCTGTTTTTTTTTTTTTTTTTTTTTTTTGTAAGAATAGGGCAATTAATTTCTGGTTGTCACAAAGCTGAAATGAAGTGTGCTTGTTTGTTGTTGTGTTTTTTTTTTTTTAATTAAACTGGGTAAACTGGAGAGTAATAAGCTGCTTCTGTGAAAATAGGCCTGAGTTTTCCAAAATAAAAGGTTACCATAGTAAGACATGAAATTGCTTTGTGGCTTGTTCCCATGCAGTGTGCAGCCACTTCAAAGCCCGTCTGTAGCCAGGGAAAATGTATATATTTTCCAACACACAACCTTAGGAGAGAGATTAGGTGTTGAGAGATGCAGTTCATATGAACAATGAAAGAATTATATCTGATGTCAGAAGTCATAACTTGAGTCATGCTACCCGGAGTCAGTAATTGCATTTCAAAAGGGAATTTTCTGGGCAAATTAACCCCCAGACATAGGTTTATCTAGATGTGCATTTCAGTGCTTATTTTACTGATCTATTTCCCATAACTAGGGAAGAGGAAAGCAATGCCAAAGGAGGTATATGGAAAATGAAGGTCGCTAAAGAAAGTACGGTATGTAATACTGGCTCTTTATTTAGAAATATTTAATAAGGGGGTTTCTTTTAGTTCCACGCAAAGTAGCTGTTGTAAAACTTTCTAGGTTTGACATTACCCAGAGTAACAACCAAACACCATCTAAGTCTACAATGTTTTGCTTTAAGGTAGTGAGCAAAAGTTTCTTTTCAGATGATTCAGTATTTTGCACTTTCAATCACATTTGTTGATGTATTACAAATCAAATGAAAGCTGCAGCATTCTATTCCATTTCCATTTGGCAAACATGGTATTTTCTAACCAACTGCATCCACAAGACTTGGTTTGCCTGCAGGCACTCAAAATATACAAACATCTCCTTCTGATTATAGCCAGAACCTCAACAATGTTCTCAAGACTCCACACACACAATTCAGCACAAATGCCAGAGTTTCACTGAGCACCAACTGCTCCCAAACTATCCAACTCAATAGGAGTGTTGTGCTTGGCACTGCCTGTGCCCACCATGTGTGGGGGTGAGGGGTGCTGTGCCTTGCTGTGCCAACAAGGACTGATGTTCTCCATGGGTGGTGGGTCTCACCCAATGTCTCCCACTGGTAGGGAAGGATCTTGCTCAGTCTCTTTTCCCAATCCCTCCTGTGATGGCTCTGCTGCTTATCAGGCTGCTTGTGATGTCATAAAAAGCCATTCATGCTTATTTGTAATATGATTGTGTAGCCAGGGGAGGTTGTTTTTTTTTTTTTTTAAGTGTATGGGAGTAAAGGAGAGAAGAGTGATGACCCCTTGGGCAAGAGTTGGTCGTCTATCACTGCGTGTACCTCTTGTGAAACTGCAGTGTTTGAGTTTTCTTTCTGAAATTTGGAAGCATGAAAGATAAGATCTGTTCAGGCATGTTGTTGTTCTATCCCTACTGAAACAAGTGGCTGTGTGCTGGGTGTTGTGCCCCTATCAAATACGTGCTGAGTGACTTTCCCTGCAACTTGTCACGAAGGGAAGGACTGAGCTGTTCACATGTGTTATTTGTGTGTGAGTGGGGGCTGGGTCAGGCCTTCAAACAGTGAACGTGAAGTGTAAGAAAAATGTGACAGCCTTGAGGAAGGCATTAGATGCTGAAAGATGGCACTTGAAACTTCAGCCAAAAGCTAATTGGTTTTGCCTGTGGACTTTCTTCTGCATGTGAATTGCAGCTTTCTTCCCTCCAATCCCAAGTGATCACAAAAGATTCTGAAATGTTATTTTCTTTATTATAATCCAAGGTGTGAAGATGGTCAGAGGTGACAAATGGTTTTGGGAGCTGCATTGCTGGGTGCTGAATTTAGGGAGCTCAGAGAAGCCACGTGTTTCAGAGGCTGAATGATCACCACTACTTGAGATGAGGATGCTTTGTGATATCTCAAATGATAAATACCCCTGCTTGCCCCTGAAAGGTTTAACTGAAAGAGAACCTGGCTCAATTTTTAATACTTTTGTAAATAGCATAAATAATAACCCATGCCCATTTCTCCATTTTGTCTCTGTGCTTCTAACCATCACAACCCCCCACGGCACCTCTTTGGCCAGGAAGAACTACCTTGTACAGCCCTCGTTGGAAAAGCTGATATGCTTGAGCAAAGTTTGGTGAGGGTGGGAGGGAAAGGCTGTTTTTCTGAGGAAATCAGACAAAATACTGACACTTAAATGTTGTTGCATGTGTACAGTGCTTCTGTATGCTGGTTTTTAATACAAAAACTAATACTTTTTAGATCCTCATAAGCCTGATCCTGCAACTGCTTACTACTGGATGAAGTGCTTCCTGCCCGTGAGGCCATTAGGACAACTCAGTAGTGAGCACTGTGCCTGGTAACAAGAGTGCATGGTCATCCCACATTCATGTCTGGGCTGGTGGCTGACAAGGACATCGGCCCACATGCTGTCCCACCTCTAGAGCATCAGTTGTCCCATAGCCTGACTATATGTTATATAGGATGAGATGATGAGTTACAGAAATGTGCAGCCCTATGTGTTCCCAAAGATGGTATAGCAGTGCTTGGAAACTTCTTAAAGCAGTTTATTGGTTTGTTGTCTTTGTAGCTGCTTGCTTTTTGCTTTAACCTCGGTGCGTTTAGTTGCTGTTTCTTTTTAATAGCACTAAATCTCAAGTTAAACAGCAGAGAAGACATTCTTTTAAGGCAGCATATATTATGGTGATACAGTCAAATACAGATGTTGATATATTCTTTATATATATATATATATTCTGTCACTCAAAATGCTCATCTTGGAGCATATTACTATATGTGTTGGTCCAGAGGCATTCCAGGTTTTGCATGGGCTTTGACTTAGGTGATAACAAATGTCAAAAGGAAATTAGAGTGTAACTGATCTAACAGAGCCAAAGAAAACTGCAAATGGCTGTTCCCCCTTATTTGAACTCCCTAGTGAGCATTCGTACTGTTGAAAGACAGGCTTATTTCATAGGCAAGGCAAATCAGATGTGATGCTTAAATATACATCCATTTCATTTACTGGTAGGGTTTTTCTGGCACCTCTCTTAGCACAGACAGTGATTCCTTTTCACAGAAACAACCATCAAAATTAAAGCCTTAGGGTCTTTTCTTATGGGAAATTCTTGGGAGAATTCAGTATGCAGTGAGACATGGACATAGTGAAGGTAAATTTATAGTTTAAATATTAAACAATTTTTCTTTCTAAAATATATTTTTATCAGTTTTTATTTTCAAGGTCTAAATTCTTGTTCTAACTGTACTGAAGAAATTATGTAATACAATGTGTACTTGCTACAAACATTCTTTTCTGTCTGGACAACCTCATAATGAGAATGTACTCAAAACTGAGCTAACAAAAGGAACTTTTAAATTGAGATAGTAGGGCAAAAGTAACTACTACTACTTCTTCTTCTTCTTAGGCAGCAGTTTGGAAAGAGCTCCTCTTAGCAACTGTTGGAGAGCAGTTCACAGACTGCTGTGCTGCAGGTAACTTGTAATGATTGCTGCTGCTGTGTCCGTATGACTACCAGGAGGAGGAGAACGAGGCGTTCAGGTGTTGCAGCACAGAGCTGCCTCTGGTCCCCCGCTCACCAGCCTGTGTTCCTGGGAGGATGGCAGGTTATCAGGGTTGTAAACATCTCTTAGCCAGCATTGAAATGGTTGGTATTAAATTCCACAGTGCCACAATTCTGGAATCCCAAATTATGTTTCTATACCATTGTACTGTCACAGTTGGAAGAAGCCAAATTGGATAGATGTCCCTGTTAGCCCTCACGGGCTCTTGATTCCCTTGTAGGCAAGGATAGAAATGACATTACAGGTGAATTATTTTTATGGCACTTCATTAAAGCCACTACGAGGTAATATTTACATAGTACAACAGTTTCTGTAAATACAGTGTTTGTTTCTTTCTGTTAACTGTTTTGTCTGGTTTGAGCATTAGTATTCTCTTCATTGGGGATTGCTCTTTCATTGCTTCAGTTTGTTCAACTTTTGGGCGCTTTCACAGCACATAAGTATTGAATTAGACATGTCTCATTTAAAGTAGTTTTTAATGATGCTTCCTGTGCTCTGCAGATGATGAAGTCATAGGGGTGAGCATCAGCGTTCGTGACCGTGAAGATGTTGTACAGATCTGGAATGGGAATGCCTCCTTAGCAAGTGAAGCAAAAGTGTTAGAAAAGATGCATAAACTTCTGCCTCACACCTCTTTCAGAGCCGTGTTTTACAAATGTGAGTATTTTCTACTGGCTGATCTCCACCTTTGTTAGAGAGACAAGGTGCTGGTGGGGTATTTCCATGGGAACAACCTCTCTGGTTTCTCATCAGCTATTTGGAAATGCAACATCTCTCACTGCACTGAAATTATAATTGGGAATTGAAGAGATCTCTTTCTTTAGGCTCTATTTAAATGTGTATTTAAGTAGTGCATTCCCAAAGATTGCTCAGCACACTGTGTCTTCCTAGGCTGCTTGGACATCGTTGTCTTCTGTTCATCTTTTCAACTCCTTGGCAGAATTTATGTTTTTTGTACATCTTTCTCCTTCTCTCTCCCCCAGCACACAGAGAGCACCATGCCTTTGAAGGCCGACGTGGGAGACATTAAATGCAGCCTTATGTTTGTCGCTCGCAGTGTGGTGAGATGTCTGAGTGAGAAGGACAGCAGGAGGCCCTGCAGAAACACTACATGTGATGGTCCTCTTGAATTTAATGCTTCTTGTTGGGCTGTTGCTACTGAAAATGAGGAAACGCAGTTGCCCTGACTGCTAAATGTGTCATTCATGACTTTTTGCTTGGTTGTGATTTTAATTTGTTGTTTTTTTTTCTTTAAAAAGTTATTTGGCCACTAGTTTTTTCAATCAGATCATATTGATTCCTATTAAGATACAACACTTTGGATTTTTCTGAACTGTTGGTAGTTAAATGCAAACATGCACAAATGTTGGATGCTGCTTTTTTGAGATGGAGGAACACTGCCTTGGTGAAATGTGTTTTCAATTTTCTTTTTGAGACATTCCTATCATATGAAGATTTACTCCCTGTCTTTGTCTCAAGGAGATGAAGGAGTTGCATGGCATTATCCTAACGGGCTGTGTAATCTGCTCTTGCACTGACAACTGCAAAAGTAAATAGGAAAGCACTCACTGAATGGGCAACTGAAGAGATGCACTTATATGGGTCTGACCCTGGGTGAGATGATGTTTTAAGTGTGGTGACTCCCAAAGGATCCTGGTTCAGGCTAGAATTTAGAGATTTTGCAGTAAGAAACCCTGTGAACCCCCCCACCTCCAGTTTATTTAAGAAGAGATGATGGTTATAATCTTTTCAGCTTATGGTCTTTCTCTGTACATTCATGACAGAAGTCACAGATTCTTTCTAACCCATTTGCCTAACTGATTCATCCCTTGTACTTCTGGAGATGCTAGGCCTGCACCTGTAGAGGCTCAGAGCAGAAGTGCTGTTCTCTTCAGTACAAAGGAAGAAATTCTGTCACTCGTACTTTCAATCTGTCATGGCTCTGTAGGTCATCTATTTTCTTTAATTTACAGGACACAAATGGATTTTGTTTTACGGCATGAACGTGAATATTAACTGCGTTAATCAGTAATGTTTGTATTCATTGAGGTGTTGGTTTGCTTTACTGTTCTACCAAAGATTAATTCATCTCCTTGTGCAAGAAGAAGCTATAAGATAGAGAAGGATTTGCACTCTGCTCAGCATTACTTTGTGGGTAAGAGTTCTTGTTTGGCAACAGGTCCAGTGGCGCTGATCTCCACATGTTTGGTGTATTAAGAAGCAGCCATTAGAATCAAATGTAGCAGTAAGAATTACACATAGGAGAGGAGTGTTTTTTATGTTTTTTTTTTTACAACTTTGTATTTATGAATTCAAACTGTGCAGTTAGTGAGCATTATTAATTAAACACAATTTTGAAAATCCAATGTCTTGCTTCTGTGATTGCTTTCTGAATCATCATAGAAGCATAGAATGGCCTGGGTTGAAAAGGACCACAACAATCATCTTGTTTCAACCCCCCTGCTATGTGCAGGGTCTCCAACCAGCAGACCAGGCTGCCCAGAGCCACATCCAGGCCTAGCCTTGAATGCCTCCAGGGATGGGGCATCCACAGCCTCCTTGGGCAAGCTGTTCCAGTGCCTCACCACCCTAAAAACTGCGTTTCTGGGACACCTTGAAAACTTGTCAAGTTTTCCTTATTCTGTATCCCTAGTGTAGTATGTAAAATTAAGTTATGGTTTGGGGTTTTTAATTTGTTTTGTGGATTTTTTTTTTCCTGTGCATCTTAAAACTCTGATAATAATTAATACCTGGTTTGATGAATGATGACTAAAATTCAGCATGTATGCCACAGTCTGAAACTGAGCTTGTATCAAAATGTGCAATACAAGTTTCCAGGTACCAGACAAATGGCATTTTGGAGTTTAGCAAGCACTTAATTTAAAAACCATGCAGAATGTGTGCAGCTTCCTCCCATCCCTTGCTGTGAACGCCCACCTCCATGCTGCGCATCTCCCCAGGCTGTGGCACAGCTGTGCCCACGGGGATTAGCTGGGAATGCCACTTAGTGGGGATGAAGGGCTGCCTTCTGGGCCAGGCTAATTAGCAGGATTCTGCTCTGCTAATTAAATGGCAGTTTGTTGAACATAGCTTATTTGATGAAATGCATGGAAGACCTAAGAGTTAGCAGGCAAGGATAGGCAATGCTGCCTCGAGAGCCTGTACACAAGCAGCTGCTTCTGGCCACAGGGCTTTGTTCTTTCATTCTCCAGCAGAGACGTGTGATTCAGCCAGCTTGGGTTTGCTGCTGTTTTTTTTTTTTATTTATTTTCTGTTGTGCAGTGTGCCTTAGGGATGCTGCCTGGCTGTGAAGGAATGCATCAAAGCATCTTCAGTCTAAAGCCACTTTGTGCTATGGGTCTTGCTGGGTCCTCTGTGGGCCTTTATTGCAGCCTGGCAGGCTCAGGGCAGGATGACATGCTCTCCTCAGTAGTAATTAATCAACCCAGTACTTGAGAACACAAAGCTCTGCAGGGCAGGAGGGGCTCAGGCAATGCTCTGCTGTAGCCAGGTAATGGCACAGAGAAATAACAATTTCCATTTTTCCTATGGTGGGATTGATATTCCTATGACTGGAGGAGATAAAGCTGAAAAGGTAAAACTGTGCAAGAAGGGTTTCCACTAGTGCTGCTCCATAAATAAGCAAATCAGAGCGGACTGAAAGCGGAGCCCAAAGCAGGCATCATCCATCATGTGCAGGGCCTGGACTGCGTTCAGCTTGTAATGAGTCCGGGAGAGCACTGTTATGAATAGGCACGGGATGAACCCCCTTCTTCTTGGATCATGATTCTGAGCAATAAACATGCGAGACAATTTGTATAAAATAGTGAGGATTCTTTCCTAGAGAAGTCATTTAAAGCTATATTTGCGTGCTGAGGAGTAGTTTGAGGGAATGTTTTGTAGTTATATTTCCATACAAGTGTGCAAAGGAAAAACAAGGCATCCAACAGGTGCCAGGCAGTGTGTGTAGCCCTGTGCTGTACTGCAGTGTGCTTTGCCTGGTGCTGTGCTGGGTGAGCAGAGCACCATCGAGTCATTGAGAGTTGGGTGGCTGGTTCAGCAGCGGAGCTGTGTAAACACAGGGTTTTTCCAAAGAGGGACTTATTGGTGTGGTGGGGTTGGTCAGAGATCTTCTGGAGCTCTGAGATGTAAAATGGGAGGAACTTACATTCTTTACTGCTGTGCCTGGCTTTACTGTAGCCACGTGTGGTGCCAGGCTGCCTCCAGCCACCTTCCAGGCTGAGAATTCTCTGTGGGTTGGGCTGGCTTTGCTCCCCACTCCTTGCATTGCATCTGTGACTGGGTGCTGCTCCATGGAGGAGATGACACCCATGGTGCCCTAGGATGGATCCTGTACTCAGGTCCCAACTCTGTGCTGATATCCCATTTCCCACCACGGTTTTGTCCTTTGCAGTAGGATCCTGAGCTGTTGGGGAAAAAAAAAATTAAAAATCTAGTTTTGCTGGGCTTTGCTGTTCTGGCAGCTGCCCCCTGCAGCACTGTGCTTTCGTAGCACAGAGCTGAGCCCTTCCTTCCGACTGCATCTAGCCCTAATCCCTGGATTAGGCTTCCTCTGATCCTCCTGCAGGCACAGGGAGAGCTGAAGCCTGGGAGGAAAGCTCTCTGACAGCATGGCTTTCCTGGCACACCTCTGTGGCTCAGCAGCATGCTGTGGGACGGGGAGTGACAGCTTTTTGGGTGGCTGCTCCTCCTCCTCTGAACAGGGGACCAAGGGCTCCCACCGTGCACCCAGAGGCGCAGCACGTGGTGTCCCTGCAATGGGGAGGTTTTACTGCTGGGAACTCCTTGGAACCATGAGGAAGTTGTGATGGAAGTTCCACATTTGCGATAGCTTTCCTTCTCGAAGGCTGCAATGGCTTCCAGATTCTGGTCTAGTTTTACCTCCTTTTTTTTCTTCTTTCCCTGCCTCCTCCCTCTTCTCTCCTGAAATAAAGGAGCCATTAGAGATGGACTGTAATGTGGAAGGCACATGTTTGGATAGTGTTACATGTATACAGCAGTCTGGACGGGATGTCTCGCAAGGAGATAAATGAGCTCTGTGCTGCTGTGCTCCATCCCAGAGCCGCCTTTGAAGGCTTCTAGGTTTTGGACGGCGAGCTTTCGGTAATTAAAAACTCATTTACTCTCCGCTTTTTGTTTGAACGTATAGATCTGAAACCATCGCTGAACAACTGAATCAAACACTTGCAAAGAGTTGAAAGAAAACGGATGGGCTCAGCGCGGGCCCGGAGCTGCCATGAGATGGCAGTGCGAGACCGGGGATGGGCGGCACGGCCCGGGGCTGCCCGCGGCTCGCGGGGGGTGGCTGTGCCGTCACTCCGTGCTGCCGTGTCTGGACCGGACTTTTCCTGCTTACACAGAGCACATAACGCTCTAGGAATTCGTGTATAAACAGTGCAGTAAAGGGGGAAGCTATCTGAATTATGAGCAGCAACAAGGAAATGGGTTTTCTTTAACCGTTCCTGGCAAATTCAGAAAGCTTTTGGTTGCTGGGGGCGTTTCTGAGTAGAAAAGCACGTTAAGAACGGTCGTGGCATCGCTTTCTGCCGGGCTCCCCCTCTCCCAGCGCACACCAGCCTGAGGTGCTGCCCTCCCCAGGCCGTGCTTGCAGCACTGCTGATGTATTTGATACAAAATGTTCTTGAAAACAACTTTTGCCAACAGTTCTGCCCGAAGCCATGCGAGAAGCAGCGCGACAGCTACGATTTCTAATTAATTGTAATTAGAAAGCCTAAACCACGGAGGGCTCCTCTTTATGTGAGGCAGAGGGACTGCTTTCTGAATCACTGCCTCCCCCCTCTTCCCTTGCCCAGAAACAACACGAGCAGCGCTCAGACAGGGCCTTGGCTCTGCTGTGCTCCCAGAGCAAACAGCGGCACATCAGTGGCTCCGTGCCTTCAGAAGGAGAGTGGGATGCGCCCACGTGTGGAGCTGACAAGGTCAGGAGTGATCCTGGCAGGGCCCAGCACAACCCACACATTGCAGCAGCCTTCCCTCTGCCAGCACGTAGGCTGTGGCATTTCAGAGCCTGCCCCGTGGCACATGGAGGGTTTGGTGATGGGACCAGCAGTGGGATTTTTCCCTGCTGATGCTCCCGGCGGCGGTGATGCTAGGAAAACATTTGGTGAAGCATCCCGTGAGCAATATGAACCTTGACTGATGGTACTCAGTGCACATGGGCCAATGGTTACATGGCTGAGCCTCCTAATGCCATTTGGGATATTATTTTTTTGTGCCAGTCGCAGCATATTCATCAAAATAAAATGCCAATAAGTAAAGCATTACAATGCTTTCAGAGGGGAATGGGCGAAGGAAAGTGGGTGAATTCTGCCCCCAAATGGATATTCAATCTTATAACAAGTATTGTGGATTAACAAAAAGGGACTGCCTTGGCTCCTCGCCATGCACCGATCGCAGAGCTAATGCTCCAGCCCCATTAACTTCCCACTGCGCTCCTGCCTCCCTTGTGCGTGGGGCACTTCAATGAAGCGACTCATGGTGAGCTCATCTGCATCTATTTCATTACCTTGGCCTCTAAAGGCAGTACTGTGTCCAGAGTGGGGACAGGAGCAGGGATAGGAGCTGGAGGATGCCCTGGGGCAGGCGGCTGTCCCCCTTTGGGGTCACCCTGGGGGTTTTACTGGGGGATCAGGCAAGGCAGGGATGCTCAGAGGTTCACAGGGAGCAGCCACACCTGTATGGCTGTGAGGAGCATCCATATGGGACCATGGGTTTATGCTTTAAAGCAAGCAGAGAGCCTGCAGCCACAAAGATGCTCTGGGACACCAAACCAAAACCACAGGGCTTTAGGACAGTAGGACAGGAGAGCTCCTTCGCATTGATCCACAGTGAGGGGCTCTTGGTACCTGCACGGTAGCTGTTTTTTGGTTTAAACCATTACACATGTAAACGATCCTTCTCAATTACAAAAGCCTCTGCAAACTGGCACCTGTAAAGGAAACTCTGAAGGAGCTCCTGGCACGGTGCTGCTTCCAATGCTTGGAAGTTTTGCTGAGTCTCCTGAAACAAAGGCAGATGCAAGGACAGAATTCGTGCTCGCCACCTCCTTTCTCCATGAGTTTCCCTCCCGCCGTTCCTGCTCTCCCCCTGCTGCACTACCCTGCCCCATTTCCATCATCCTCCCTCCACACAGCTGTTCCTGCAGTGAGGGTCCCCACACGGTGCAATGCAGCAGTTGATGGGTGCTTGTGCTGCAACGCTGCATATGAACAGTTGGAAGTGTGGTTAGCCAGACCGGGCCAGGAGCAAAAGGAATGGCTAAAGAAATGCTGGGGCCACCTGTGTGCAACACGGCAGCACTTCCAAAACAATGAAACATATTATT